ATTGCATTGATTTTTCAACCACAGACGTTAGGATGAGGTCAGTCAGAGCGACCACGAGAACAACAAAAACAGTAATACACAAGAGAAAGAGAGAGAGACTGGAGTCGGGAGGCACCTTGGGCAGGGCGGAGGTGAGCTGTCGCAGGAGACTGACAGCTTTCTCCTCGGGTCTACCGTCGTGCAGAAAGATAGGCTCCAGGTTAGCCAGAGCCGGAGAAGGCCAGTGGCAGGTGGAAAGCTGGGTGTGCCACGAGCGAGTGGCCTCGGCAATTTCCCTCAGCCTATTGGTTATGCGGAGGAGGCGGCTTTGCTTGGCTACAGAATCCACACCTGGACTTTCCACGGCTAAATCGGTGGAACTGTAACAGGAATGATTAAAGGACTTTGAAGATGGGCGGGGGGGATAGATCAAAGGGTTTATCAATCACGCGCACTAATAAATTAGTACTTTTACGTTACCAGTCTGTTTGAGATGGATGAGGAAGGTAAAAGAAAGGGTGTCGGTGGGGGGAGAGGGGGTCGGGTTCCAGGCCCCAGCTACTGTGCTAGGTGTGGGAAGGACACTGGCGTCATCTAAGCATGTGCAGTAGACAGACCAAACGAGCTGTGGGATGATCTCACGAAGCATTTAAGACGAAACGGCAAATGTTGACCAGTTAGTTTTGAAAGAACCGAACGTAACTAAACTAAACTACACTAAAACGAAAATTAAACTAATAAACCAAATTATAACCAAAAAATAAGCTAAAGTAATACCGCCAGTCCCTTACGACAGAGAGCTCGGGTAAGGGGTATCTAAGGTGGTCGTTTCTGCTTCAGTAGCCATCATCAGCCAGTCATACCTAATCTAAGGGGTGGCGACCCTCGAGATTCAAACCCGTGACCTTTAGTCAGGAACAGTCTACCACTGAACCACAGACCCGTTGTTTTTGTCGGTTTTTTTGCTGCTTCCAGTCAAAGTACAAAATAGTGGTGGGGTAGCAGGAATAAGGTGTTGTCGTTAGGAGGGGCAAAACAAAATAC